TCTTCTTCCATTTTATGGGTGAGTTCATCCCATTCATATTCACAGTTATTATGGTTAAGTATTTTCCTCTATCCCATTGTCATATTTATCCCTCTATTTTTTTTTTTACTATATCCCCTCCTCAAGAATCTGTTTAGCTTCTGACCTTACTCTGCCCTCCTTCTGCCCCTTGCCCTTCTCTTAATCTCCTTCCTTCCTACTTCCCTGTCGGTAAGATGAATATCTGTACCCAACTGTGTCTGTATATTTATTTTTCTCTCCTTGGACCAGTTCAAATGAGAGTGAGGTTCAAGTGTTGCTCACCCCTCTTCCACCCTCACTAACCCTGCTGTTGTATAAACTCTTCCATTAACTTATTTCCATGTGGCATGGAATCAGGCCTCTCGCCCTCCTGGTTCCCCTCCATCTTGTCCATGTCATAGCATGAAGGACCTTCCTGATGTTTCATTAGAATTGAGTTATATTGTATCCTGATTTATGTCAATGTTGTCTCCTCCATTTGAATATGAAATCCTTGAGGGCAGGGACTATTGTGTCTGGGACACAATAAGCTGTGAGCACTTAATAGATGCCTGTTGGTTGATTTATTGATTCCACTTCTCTATTGCTGTCATAAAAGGAAATAAGGCTAGTCTGGCCAGCCTCCCCTGGATACCGTCTCCCCTCTAGCTTCCATCCTCATCTCCCATCTTAATGTCTTTGTACTGGCCATCCCACATTCCTGAAAGACACTTCCTCCTTCCACTTCATAGAGTCTTCTTCCTCTAAGATACATTTCAGGCACCATCTTCTGAATGAAGCCTTTTCTAACCCCCTCCACAAAAGTTAGTGCCCTCCTTCCCGCCCATCTTGTATGTAGCTGCTCTCTATATACAGTTATCCCTTCCACATCACAACTTTCCCCATTGTGGTTTCAGTATATCGCAGGTCAGCATAAGAAATTAAATGAGAATTTGTTGACACAGATGACAGGTGAAGGCCAGCAGACAATGCAGAAAAAGTTTAGAAACTCAGAAATGCATAAAATATATGTGTAGTATTATATAATATCAACATTTTATCTTTTAATACCAAAATAATTCAGACTTCTTCTCTAGTACAAAGGGACGGCCAAAAATTTTTACTTGGATTTTCCAGATCTTGGGGGCACCGTGCCCCTAACCCTTGTGATGTGGAAGGGATAACTGAATTTTTACTTCTTGTTCCTACCCGTCTCCAGCCCATTAGAATTCCTGGTGAGCAGAGATTATTTCATTCTTTGTACTTATATCCCCAGCCTTAGCATAGTGTCAGGTACACTTGCTGACATGGTAATGCTTGTTGGCTGACTGATGGACAATTAAATGCCTACTACATGCCAGGCATTATGTTAAAACTCTGGGAATACAAAGAAAGGAGAGGAAGAGGGTTGGAAACTAAGCCCCTTCCCTCAAGGAGATTATATTCTAATGGTGGAGACCACAAGTAAATAACTAGGGGCATGCAAGATAAAGACCAGGTAGGTGGAGGTAATTAGAAGGGAAAGGCATTGGTACTGGTTGATAAAGCCATTCTGGGCTTTGTGTTGACTGCTTCCTTTTCTAGATGTTTACCAACCACCCCTTGAATAATACATTCTGGAATTTTGCTAGGAACTTGGTCAAGCTCACTGTCCAACACTCCATTCTTTTCCCTTTATTGAAAATCAGGAAAACATTTGCCCTTCTTGAGTCCTGACTTACCTTTCCCCTTCTCTATTGTTTTCAAAGGGCATTGCCTCAGCTGTCACGTCAGCTAGCCCTGCCAGGACCCTAGGAGGCAGCTTGTCAGAGCCAGGTGACTTGAACCCCTGAAAGGCAGCCAGGAGCTCTTTTGCTATCTCCTTCCTTATCTTGAGCATTAGTTGTTTTTGTTCTGTCCTTTCCAGGACAAAGATTATTCTCCTTGAAGGAGCAAAGAGAAACAAAACAAAGAGTCCAGCAGCTCTGCTCCTTCTGTGTGTAATTACTTGCTAACTACAAATTCCTGCTGAAGAAAACCTTTTCTTGGACCCTGCCCTTTTTCCCAAGGTGGCTGAAAATCCCCTTTTTTCTTGGCTTTAATTTCCTGTCAGCCTTCACTCTTAAGAGTGTTAACACCCCTGACAGTATTCTTACAGGAAAATGCCTTTTCATTGTGTTACACTCATCCTCTATCACCTGCCCTTGCTCCCATCTTCTGTATGTATCTCTGAAGTTGGTGAGTCCCTGTGCATCTACATTGGTCTCTTTACCTCTTATTCTTCCTCATCACACTTGTTTCTCCTTGTATCTTCAGAGATTTCTTATCATAAAATTATAGATTTAGAGCCAGACGGGACCTTCGAGGCCACTGAAGGCAATCCTTTTATTTTACAAATGAGGAAACTCCATCGCTAAGGACTTGCTCAAGATCACACAGCTAGCTAGTGGCAGGGCTGAGGCTTTGAACCCTGGACCTCTGAAGTTCATTTCTGCCCCTTCTGAGTTGATTTCCCCTATAGGATTTTAGTTTGTGGTTTCCTATCTATCCTTTCTTTTTTTTATTCTGATATCTCCTCTCTCCAGATCTGGAGTGTATGTCAAGCCATTCTTTACTTCTTCTCTATCACAAATGCAGATGCATGGAGAACTCTTCAGCACTCTTAGATTTTTAAAGGAGTTGGATAAAAGAAAGAAGTTAGGGTTTAGGGTTAGGGTGTTCTCATATGAAGTCCCTCACCCACCTTGGTCCTCTCATCTGTAAAATGAAGGCTTTGGACTAGAGGCCCCTGGCTCCCTACAAGGGCAGGGCTCCCAGAATTCTCCTGAGGGCAGCTGGGAGCTGGCCCCCTCTCCTTTACCTGATCCAAGGACAGGCCCACCTGTTTCCCTCTCTGCTGGCTCTGCCGGACGCTTCTAACTGCTTTCCCCCTCCCCTGCCCAGTAAGGGGGAGGCCCCAGATCCCCATCTTCTTGGCCCTCCTCCTTCCCCTGAAACACAGGCCAGGTGCTTTAATATTGCTGAGGCTTTCAATGGCTGCTAACTCCCTGCAAACAGAAGGGAGGGCTGGGGGGCAGGGAGCCCAGGGCCAGGGGTGAGTTTCTAGGAACCTCTGAGGTCTGAACGATGTTATCTGCCACAGGCTCTGAAATGTCAAATGTTCCACAGCCACAGAGGCCTAATGCCTTCACTCTTGGGGCCCCTCCTGTCATTTGGGGGGGCTCTTCCTGCAGTCCTTTCCCCTTTGTCTCTTTCACCCAAGGGGAAAAACAAAAGGCACACATAGGTATGAGGTTTTTTGTTGTGAGGAATAAAATATCAGGGAATACCTGAATGTGTTCTCATATGAAGAGGTAAAGTGGACAGAATGCTGACTCAGCAGTCAGAGGACTTGGGTTCAAATCTTGCCTCTGATGACTTTTCACATCCTTGGAACTCAGTTTCCTCCAAGAGTAAAACAAAAGATTTAGACTAAGTTTCTCCCTAAGTCCTTTCAGACTGGCTTGGTCTGAACTCCTAGGAATCAGGGAGATTCTCCCAGGGGTCCTTCCCTCCACCCCCCTCATCCTCCCCACCCCCACCCCTTCCAGCTTCCTTCGGTTCATTATCTTCACCTAGTAGATGACAAGCTCCTTGAGGGCAGGGATAGTCTGTCTTATCCCCAGGGCTCAGCGCAGTACCTGGCACCGAGTAATATGGCCATGGACCAGTTACTTTACTTGAGCCCCAGATTAAAAATTATTTAATTAATAAACCTTTAGTGAATTGAATTGAAATTGAATTTCCACCTCTACTGCTATGAGCCTCTGAAGGTGACTTGGGGCATTTCATCCCTAGAGGTAGAGCAGAGGCTGTGGGTGGAGTTAAGAAATACCAGAGGAGTTTGAGAGATAATTGAGGGCCAAGTAAAGAGAAGGGAGGGAGGGGAGAAGCCACAGGGTAGATCCATCCCCTTCCTCCACCCTTCTCCTCACTCTTGACCCACCCCTGGAGGCGTGGCCTTGGACTGACCCTGAGTAGCCCCTGTAGGGAGATGAGAAACCAGAATCAGCACCTTCCTCCCCCCAAGGACATTTGTAGGGTGGAGAGGGTGGGGAAGGACATCCTAAGGGTGGCTTCAGCAGCAGAATTGTAGACTAATCCGGAGCAGTTGCAGTAGTCCCTCCCAAGAAGGGATGAGCTTCATGACTGGAGCAAAGGAGACAGATTAAAGAGAGAGAGACAGTAGAGATAGAAACTAGAAAACTTGGTCATTGATGGGGCAGGGAGGGGGAAGGGAATTGAGATCAAGGAGGACCAGGAAGGCCTCAAGGTTAGGAATGGGGATGACTGGAAAGATGGGATCATCCTGGACAGAAAAGGGGAAGGTCCCAAGAGGGCTGAGTTGGGAGGTGGGGGAGGGAATGAAATCTAGAAAGGTGAATCGTTACAGCAGTTACTGAAGAAATCCTTCCCAAGGATCATAGCCGTCTGCACACAGGTGGGCTGCTGCCTGAGACTGTTGGGGGTCTTTGAAAAGATGTTGGATGGCCACTTGTCCAGCAGGATGTAGGAAGAAACCTTGGTTCAGGAGATGGCCCCTGGGGCTGGCCCTGCTGGGATTTCAGAGGGTTTAAATTTAGTTTTATTTATATATAAGAATCCCAGCAGCTCGGAGCAGGCTAGTCTAGCCTCTCCATGACCATGAAGCTGCTCTGTGTCACACCAGACAAGTGAGTGGTCATTCAGCCCCTGTTTGAAAATATCCAGTGAAGTCACCCCTGCCTCCCCAGGCATCCCATTCTGCTTGTGAACAGCTCTGGTTGTAGGAAATTTTCCCTGGCATCAGGCCCGCCTATGTCAGCCTCTGCCCCTTCTAGCCTTTGCTCATCGTTGTGGCCTCTGGGGCCAAGGTGAATGAGCAAGCCTCCCGCTTAGGAGCGCAGGTGACGGGGCAGGTAGGCCCTCTGACTAGCCGGATGAAGTGTCTCTCTCTGAGCCCCCAGCCTCATCTTTGTCCTTTTTTGTCTCCCCCAAACTAGGCCATGTTTGAACTGGTCACTTCCGAAGCCTCCTACTACAAAAGCTTAAGCCTGCTGGTGTCTCACTTTATGGACAATGAGCGACTGAAGAAGATTCTCCACCCCTCAGAGTCCCACATCCTTTTCTCCAACGTCCTGGATGTCATGGCCGTTAGTGAGCGGTAAGTGACGGGCATCCCAGCCAGTCTCCAGCCCACCCCCTTGGCAGAATGATATCGTTTGTCAGTCATTCTCTCATTCAACGAGCATTGAGTAAGCACCTGCTGTGTGCCAGGTAGAGATGGTAAGGTATTGTGAATTCAGAGCTTGGGCCTTATGGAACTGAGCAAGTCTTAGCATCTATCTCTACAACAGGGGTTCTTTATCCAAGCCCACAGATCCCAAAGGGTTCCTCCACCAGACCGCCAAAATACAGAAATTGCACCCCCAAGGTTAAGAATTACTGGTTTAAGGAGATAAGTTATAGCACAGATGCCCACCTGTCTACACTGGTAGAGGGGGGGGCTTCCTCACTCAGGGACTCCCTGCACTGATGAAATCATGGATCAGGAAGTCAATTCTCAGAGTAATTAACTGAAAAATTCATAATTGAAGGAAATACCACATTTCATTTAGAAGTCAGTGAAAATAAAGATGTAATTGTTTTTCCCATCCAAGTTCACAGACTTACTGAAATCCATTAGAACCCTTTGGGAAATTATTGCTCCCATTTCACAGATAAAGAAACCAAGGCTGAGAGTGGCTCGCCCTCCAGTGAATGGTAGAGCTAGAATTCAAATATGGTTGTCTTTCCCCTTCAGCTGTCCAACCGTGTAGCCTCCAAATGGATAAGTCAGCACCAAACCGAAAAGCATCATGGCAGCATAAATGGGGATGAGATAAATCAAATCCATAAACCAATATGGCACTCCCAAGCATCTTCAATGCAAAATGTCACATTTTACCCCTGGGTTTATCTCAAAACACAACCAAGTTGAAAGATCTTAATGACCCAATAGTCAAAAGAGGAAGGACAATGGGTATTGGGTCTATAGGACCAGCCCTGGCAAAGATAAGCCTGGAGAACACAGCTGAGATTCCTTCAGAGGGCAGTGTGCACATCCCAGAGTGGGCAGTTTTGCAGAAGAAAGACTCCCAGGCTCGTGCACCTGAGAACAGGGAGGACCTGGTTCCAGGGTCAGTCCACCAGAGGCAGGAGGGGGCGGGAGGAGGCGAGAACTTCAGGAGGCTTTGCTGGGAATTTTTGCCAAAATGTGCTCAGCACCTGAGAGTTTGAGCCAAAGATGTGACAAAAAATGACTGTAGGACAGCCTCCTTCCCATTTTTATAGCGAGAGTTCTATTGTTCCATTTCTTACATCACATGGTATGGATGCAGAATACCTTGATACCCCTGGGTATCCATGGAATCCAGATTTGGAGGGAGGAGGGATAGGCGTGTGACTTATGGGACACAGGGAGCTCCCAAAGAGCTGGCCCCTTTACCAATGCACATGGGCCCTGAGTCGCACAAGAGCACATGTCTGAAGAGGTATTTGAGCCTGGGTCTTCTGAATCAGAAGCTGGCCCTCCAGCCATGATGCCTTGCTGCCTCTGATAGTATCCAGAATACCACTGGAACTATGGGCTGTTTCAATATGGCAGCTGCCTGTCCAGGAATGCCTCAGAGAGTGGGATGAGAGCAGGGAAGGAGCAAACTCACCAGAAGTCAGAAAACACAGGCTTCTTCACCTTGATGCGCTTCCAGTCACAGCAACTCCCCTGTATGTGGGGTTTTCAGGTTTTGACGGCACTTTTCTCAGAACAGTCCTGTGTTTCTGAGGGAGATGCTATTATTATGCACATTTTACAGAGGAGGAAACAGAGGTAAAGTAAGTCACCCAGTGTCTGAGGTGGGCAATGTACACATTTATAGAGCTCTTCAAGATTTATTATGAATTAAGATGAAACTAGGTTTTGCGTGCCTTCAATGAGTGGGAGAAGGGCTGGAGGGAGAATTTGGAACTAAAATTTTAAAGTGAATGTTAAAAAAAAAAAGAAAGAAAAAGAAATGCAGTTTTGCCATCCTGGCAAAAGAATGAGAAATTTTTTTTCCCTTCATTTTTGTCATTGATATGCCTGGGGAGTAGCAGACAGAAAGCTGGCCTCTGAATGGGGAGGGCCTGTGTTCAAAGCCCAGCTCTGAAGCAGTCTACCTGAGTGATCCTAGGCCAGTCCCACTTCTCCATGCACAAGGCAAAGGTCTTAAGAAATGCTCATCTGCATTGCTGGAGGGCACTTTTCACTGGAGTTCCCTGAGCCAACGAAATCACAGGTCTGGTCCAAAAAAGACCTACAAACTGCTTCCTCTCCATAAACGGCAAAGGAGCTCGTAGTAAGACTTATCACCTCCATTTTACAGGTGAGGAAACTGAGTCCCAGGGAGTTTAGGTGACTTGTTCAAGGCCACCCAGGTAGCGAATGGTAGAGCTGGGATTCACAGAATCATGGGATTTCAGAGCTGGGGGCAAGTTCAAAGACCACGGACTTTATCTAACCCTCTGGGCAATGGCTGTCAGCCTTTGGTGAGGGCCTCTCTGACGCAGTGTGCCCTCGGGAAGACAGCCCACTGCTCCAACACCAAGGAGCCCAGAAACAGGCTGGCTGAGTTTGTTTTCATGTTTATAGTTCCCATCCAAAGACCTCTACAACATGTGTGACTCTGATGCCTATACATAAGCACACACACAATGCCATTACCACTGCCATGTTTAGTTAGGTATCACCCGGATCGATCGATCTATCTATCTATCTATCTATCTATCTATCTATCTATCTATCTATCTATCTATCTATATATAAAGCTTGTGTGTGTGCGTGTGTGTACATACACATAGGAGAGGAAGCTAGAAAACAAACAGGATAATGTAAAGAACAGGAAGGAGCCATTGGCAGGTTCGTTAGATTCATGCGCCCACAGATTTAGAGATGGAAGGGACCTTAGAGGTCATCTATTCTAACACCATCATTTTTACAGATGGGGAAACTGAGATACTGAGAAGTCCTAATATTTTAGATTTAGAAATGAAAGGGATCTTACAGGTCATCTAGTTTGATCCCTCATTTGTACAGATGGGAAAACCGAGGACCCAGAGAGAGGAAGGTTACTTGGAACTGAAAAGGATCTTTGTGGTCACCCAACCCCTCATTTTTACAGATGGGGAAATGGAGGCCCACAGGGGGCAGTGACTTGCCCAAGGTCACATGGGTTGCAAATGCCGGGGCCAGGATTCAAAACCGTTCTTCCGATGCAGTTCCTCCACTGCATCCCACTGCCTGTCCAGCTTGGGTCTCATTATAATTCACACGCATGCACATTAAGGGAGGACGTCTTTTCATCCATTGTCTTAGATATTAAATGGTATTTACCTTCAGCGCAATCCTCTCTACTGGGCCTTCTGGCTTATCTTCATGCTGTGGATTGTTTTAACTTTGTATTTTCCATTTTGCTGCATCTCGAGGGCTGGGGAAAGGGAGATTGATGGAGAAAAGAACAAAAAAAATCTATGATTAGCAATCTCACAGGGAGGAAAAAATTACCTGTGACGCCACAGTGATTAATCACCAGGATAACGGAGGCTTCTTTCGCCCTCGGCCTTCCTTCTTGGCAGCCTTCGTGATGTTTGCGTCCTTGATGGGATCTGCCGGCTGCCAGGGCTCGGGAGGAGCAGCACTCCTCTTCTCTGGCTCTGTTAGCAAAAATAGCAGCTGACATTCAATGTCAACAGTGCCTTTTCCATACCTTCTCTCCCTCGAGTGTTGCAACAACTCTGGCAGGTAGATGCTTTTATTAGCTCCATTTTACAGATGAGGAAAATAAGGATCTGGGAGGAGTGATCTTTCCAGGGCATACAGCCAGTAAATCAAATCCAAGCTGCTACTGTGAGCATTTCCCACCATTCCACATTGGACTCAAAGCATTGCCAAGAATTCCCAATCCTCTCTGAGCTGGCTCTCGGATCTGAGGCCTGGGTTCAAACCCTGCTTCTGACGCTTATGGGCGAGTCACTTTCCCTCTAGGACCCTCCATTTCTTCATCTACAATGAAGGTGTCAGACCAGAAGAGATCGTATTGAGAGTTTTTGTTTCTGCATCTGATTCTTCTAAGAGCAGGGTAGGGGGAAGGAGCCAGTGTAAGACAGGGTACCAGATTCCGTGATGCATCGATGGCTGGAAGGCCAGGACACGTTATGGAGTGAAGCAAAGAGTTGAAACCCCAGCTCTGCTACTTAGGAGCATTGTGGGCCTTGTTTTCCCCATCTGTTAAAAGAGGGATAGCCCCTGAGATCCTCTCTAGCACCAGAGCTATGATTCTATGATCCTATGATTAAATGAGATCACACTTGTAAAGTGCTTACCACAGGGCTGCCTGCCACATAGTTGGTGTTTAATAAATGCTTGTTCCCCATCCCCTCCTCTTCCAGCACCTGCTTGAGTGATCCTGGCCAAGTCATTTAACTTCTTCGGGCCTCAGTTTTCTCATCTGTAAAATGAGGCAGTTGATAGCTCTATGATTCCCACTCAGCTCTTTCTATAGGGTCCTATGCCCAGTGGTGTAACCCTGGGCAATTCACTTCACCTGTCTGACCCTGAGGGTCCTCTCAGCTCTAGGTCTGTGACCCCATTGTAACAACAAGGAAGGGAGGGTTAGGACTCCTGGTCCTAACTGTGGATTCTTGGTCCGTGATTTCAGGTTCCTGTTGGAGCTGGAGCAGCGTATGGAAGAGAACATTGTCATCTCCGACGTGTGTGACATCGTCTACCAGCACGCGGCCAGTCACTTCTCTGTCTACATCACCTACGTCTCCAACCAGACGTACCAGGAGAGGGCTTACAAGCAGCTTCTGTGAGTTCTGCTGGGCGGCTGGAGATACCTTGCTTTTACAGAAATGCTCTGTGTGTGTGTGCGTGTGTGTGCGTGTGTGTGTGTCTGTCTGTGAGAAAGAGACAGAGAAACACAGAGAGACAGAGAGAGGAGAAAGAGAGAAGGAGAAAGCCAGAGCCAGCCAGCCAGACCTACCAGTGGTCATTGAGTGCTGCTCGAAGTGAGTGAACTTGGTGGTGGCTTTAAAGAAATGTTGCCCAGCTGAGGCAGAGCAGATGGGAGAGAGAAGCCAGGCCAGAATGGTATGTCGTTGAAAGAACTAGGAATGGTCAGCTAGGAGAAGAGAAGGCTCCCGGGGGGCATGAGAGCTACCTCCAATGTTCCTGTCGCCTCCTGTATCAAATACAAAATGCTGCTTGAAGTTCACAGCCCTTCAGCACCCCGCCCACTCCTATCTTTCTAGTTAGTATGCTTACCCTTAAATCTAGTGCCCCCGCCTCCTGCTGTTCCTGGAACAAGCCCCTCCATGTCTTGGCTGCAGGCCTTCTCTCCGGCTGTTCCCACCCTCCTTGGCTCTGACCACTGAGCTCCCCACCCAAATCCTACCCCAAGCCCTCTTCAGTCCAGGCCTTGCCCCGTGTTCATAATCTCCCATTTATCCTGTCCTGAGCTCGCTTTGCAGATGAGTGTTTGCCGCTGGGTCCCCTATCAGATTGTGACCTCCTTGAGGGCAGGACTCTCTTTTGTCTCTGTTTGTTTCCCTAGCACTTAGCAGAGCATGGCACATAGTGTAGGCACTTCATAAATGTCTGTCACTTGATTGACGGATTGGAGGTGGAGGAGGGGTTAGCTTTGTTCTGCTTGGCCCCAGAGGGCAGAGCAGAGAGAAGCTGGGGGGAATTCCAGAGAAGCCTGTTCTGGCTCCATACAAGCCGCTCTGGGGCTGCCTCGGCGGGGCAGGATTGCCACCAGAAGGCGCTGCCTTTGTCACTGACCACTGGGTGGCCTCCCGCAGGTCACTCGCCCTCTCTGGGCTCTGGTTTCCTCAACTATAACATGTGGGAGTCGGAGCCCATGGCTTCCAAGGCCTGTGATTCTGTGGTCCCCGGAGCTTTCCCATCACGGCCTGGATGGCCATCTGTTTAGAATGCTGTGGAGTGCATTCCTACTGACATTGGGATGGGAGCTCCCGAGAACTGCTCCTGAAGTCAGAGTCGTTGTTGTTCAGTTTCTTCAGTCACGTCCAACTCTCCGTGACCCCATTTGGGGTTTTCTCGGCAGAGATACTGGAGTGTTTGCCATTTCCTTCTCCAGCTCATTTGACAGCTGAGAAACTGAGGCCAACAGGGTGAAGTGGCTTGTCTAGGCCATAACAGCCAGGAAGTGTCTGAGGCCAGATTTGAACTCAGGAAGATAAGTCTTCTTAACTCCAGGCCCGAAGCTCTATCCATTGCACCATCTAGCTGCCCCTACAGTCAGAGATGAGTTGTCCAATTTCACCTCTGCCACTTGTTACTTGTATGACTTTGGGCAAGTCATTTCCTTTTGCTGGGTCTGTTTCCTCATCCATGAAATGAGAGTGTTGGCCTCAAAGGCCTCTGAGATTCCTTCCTGCTCTAGAACTGTAATCATGTCATGACACACTGAGATGGCATGTAGACTTGCAGACTAAGAAGTGAACAGGACCTCACAAGCCATGGGGTCCAGCGTCCTCATTTACAGGTAAGGTAACTGAGGCCCTGTAAGGTTAAGTGATTGGCCAGGGTCATGCAAATAGTAAGTGTCTGAGGCGGGATTGGAATTCAGGTCTTCCTGATGCTCTGCCATTTGGAGGCCCAACAGGCAAGTGGGATACGGAGACTAAGGCCAGATCTACAGATCTGGGCAGCCTCAGAGATGGGGGGATTATTATGAGTATGATTATTACTAGATCCTTAGTGGCACCTGAGAAAGTGAAGACAGAGAGAGAGAGGCAGAGACAGAGAGAAGAGAGGCAAAGAGAGAAAGAAATAGAGAGACAGAGAAAGAGACAGAGAGATCAGAGAAACAGAGACAGAGAGAGATCAGAGAGAGACAGAGAAAGAGACAGAGAGAGATCAGAGAAACAGAAAGAAGAGAGACAAACAGAGAGAGATCAGAGAGACAGAGACAGAAGGAGATAAGAGAAAGAGACAGAGAGAAAGAGACAGAGACAAAGAGAGACAGAGAGATGAGAGAGAGACAGAGACAGAGAGAAAGAAGAGAGACAGAGAAAGACAGAGATCAGAGAGACAGAAAGATCAGACAGAGAGAAGAGACAGAGAGACAGAGACAAAGAGAGAGAGAGATCAGAGAGACAGAGAAAAAGAAGAGACAGAGAAAGAGACAGAGAGATCAGAGAAACAGAGAGATCAGAGAAACAGAGACAGAGAGAGATCAGAGACAGAGAGAAGAGAGTCAGAGAGAGAAAGAAATAGAGAGACAGAGAAAGAGACAGAGAGATCAGAGACAGAGAGAGATCAGAGACAGAGAGAAGAGAGGCAGAGAGAGAAAGAAATAGAGAGACAGAGAAAGAGACAGAGAGATCAGAGAAACAGAGAGAAGAGAGGCAGAGAGAGATCAGAGAGACAGAGAGATCAGAGAAACAGAGACAGAGAGAAGAGAGGCAGAGAGAGAAAGAAATAGAGAGACAGAGAGACAGAGAGATCAGAGAAACAGAGAGAAGAGAGGCAGAGAGATCAGAGAGACAGAGAGATCAGAGAAACAGAGACAGAGAGAAGAGAGGCAGAGAGAGAAAGAAATAGAGAGACAGAGAAAGAGACAGAGAGATCAGAGAGGCAGAGAGAGATCAGAGAGACAGAGACAGAGAGAGATCAGAGACAGAGAGAAGAGAGGCAGAGAGAGAAAGAAATAGAGAGACAGAGAAAGAGACAGAGAGATCAGAGAAACAGAGAGAAGAGAGGCAGAGAGAGATCAGAGAGACAGAGAGATCAGAGAAACAGAGACAGAGAGATCAGAGACAGAGAGAAGAGAGGCAGAGAGATCAGAGAAACAGAGACAGAGAGAGATCAGAGACAGAGAGAAGAGAGGCAGAGAGAGATCAGAGAGATCAGAGAAACAGAGACAGAGAGATCAGAGAGAGACAGAGAAAGACAGAGAGAGATCAGAGAAACAGAAAGAAGAAAGGCAGAGAGAGAAAGAAATAGAGAGACAGAGAAAGAGACAGAGAGATCAGAGAAACAGAGAGAAGAGAGGCAGAGAGAGATCAGAGAGACAGAGACAGAGAGATCAGAGAAACAGAGACAGAGATAGATCAGAGACAGAGAGAAGAGAGGCAGAGAGAGAAAGAAATAGAGAGACAGAGAAAGAGACAGAGAGATCAGAGAAACAGAGAGAAGAGAGGCAGAGAGATCAGAGAGACAGAGACAGAGAGATAAAGAGAGAGATCAGAGAGACAGAGAGATCAAAGAGAGAGACAAAGAAAGACAGAGGCAGGGAGAGAAAGAAGAGACAGACAGAGAAAGAGACAGAGACAGAGAGATCAGAGAGACTGAGAAAGAGACAGAGAGAGAAAGAAGAGGCAGAGAGACAGAGAGAGAGGTAAAGAGAGAGAAGCCTACAGGACACCCACATTAAGAGGGCAGATGAATGAGGAATCCCACCAAAGGAGACTGAGGAAAATCAGCTCTGGAGGCAGGAGGCCACAGGCCCGGGGAAGAAGATCCCGCAGCAGAGGGTGGTCCGAGCACCCAAGGCCTGGGAAAGCTCCAAGATGAGGAGGCCTGAGAATGGGAGGGGCCGAGGGGTCATTTCTTCCTGTCCCCTACTGTCCCCTCCGGTTCCCATCCTTGCTAGAGGCTGTAAGGATGTCTGCCAAGGTTCAGTCCTGGTGCCTTGGGGGAGAAGTTGGCCTCTGAAGGCTCCTCTCCCTGAAGCTGAGGGCGCGGGCTAGAATTCTGGGCTGGAATGGGATGCCTATGGCCTTTGAAGTTAGAGAAAGGGAGGGTTTGAGGTCAGGAACGCTGCTGGCCTGGCCGGACTCTCTGATCAGCCCAGAGAGCAGGAGAGAACCAGAGGCCAGACAAGAATGTGGCTGGTTTGGGGCTGGAAGGGGCAGAAATAGACCTGACTGGGCCTCTGCCCACCTCCCAGACACTCTCGGTGCCACCGCAAGGGTGTCCCCCCACCCCCCAGCTGTGTCCTGGGCTTCCCCCATCAGGTCACTTTGGGTGAAGCAGCCCCCATGGAAGGGCCTTGTCCTGAAGCCACGCCTTGGGCAGCCCCACCCCAAGGCTGGAGCTTTCTCTCCAAACACTGAGACCTTTTTTTAAACACAGAAGCTTCTTCAGGGACTTTTCAACTGAGACATTGAGTAAATTTGTTGCAAACAGGGCCTGGCCTTTGAAAGTTAGAATTATGGGAATCCGTAGGGCGGGACGGGGAATCCAGACGTGTTGGCTTCAGCCCAGCCATGGTTCAATAACATCACACTGTTAACATGATCAATAACTATTGAAAATGAGACGGATGGGGCTGTCAGTACATGGAACAGGAGCAGGATTAGAGCCTGGCTCTGGGACTTCATCAGCCGGGCAAAGTCACTGCCTGGACCGGGGCAGCCTGTCACCTTCTCTCTTGGTTTTTTGTTCTTGGTTTTTTTTGCTAGACAATGGGGTTAAGTGATTTGCCCAGGGTCACCCAGCCCAGTGGGGGGAAGGGCTCTCGTACCCAGAACTTCCTGGCCGTACGGCCAAGTGAGGCCCGTGTGCTGAAATCAGGGCAAGTAAGGAAACGCCATGGCTGGACAGGGTCTTGGAAGATTCGGTCTAGCCCAGCTTGAAACAGAAGCTCATGCAGGGCAGAGGATTATGGACCCGAAGCTGGAAGGAGCCTTGGGGGTCGACAAGCCCCATCCTTTGTTTGAAAGTTGAAGAATATCCAGTTCAGAGAGAAGAGACTCACTCAGGGTCATACAGCTAGAGTCAGTGAGTCAGTCAACAAGCGTTTCTGAAGCCCGGCTGTGTGCCAAGCACTGAGGACAGGAGGAAAGGCAAAGGACAGCTCCTGCCCTGAGGGAGCTCATGGTCTACTGTGGAGAGAGCATGCAGACAAACAGGGGCCCGCAAGGTCTACTCCTGGCATATTGGAAATGGCCAACAGAGGAGGCCGGGCCTGAAGAGGGGCTGGGGAAGGCTTCCTGCAGAATAGGACCTGAGCTGGGACTTCAAGGCAGCCAGGGAGGTCAGTGGTCAGAGCAGAGGGGGCAGCGCATTCCAGGCCTGGGGCACAGCCAGAGAGAACGGCGATGGCAGGGGTGTGTGTATGCATGGGTGTACGTGGGTGTATGTGTGCATGTGTGTGTGCGCGCGTGTGAGTGTGTGTACATGTGTGCATGCATTGTGTATGCGTGTGTGCATGTGTGCATGCATGTGCATGCATGTATGTGTGAGCACGTGTATATATGTGTGCATGCATTGTGTATGCATGTGTGCACTGTGTATTGTGTGCGTGCATGCGTGCATATGTGTGTTCATATGTGTATATGCATTTGTGTGTACGTGTGTGTGTGTGTGTGTGTGTGTGTGTGTGTGTAACAGCCAGGACGGTGGGGGAATCCTGGAGGGGAGGTGTAAGAAGTCTGGGGAGGACAGAGAAATGAGGAAGGGCTTGGAACGCCAAGCGGAGGATCATTTATACTCCATCCTGGGAGCTACAGGGCGCTCCTGGAGGCTGTTGATTAAGATGAGAGGGGTGACATGGTGGGGCCTGGGTTTTAGGAAAATCACTTTGGTGGTTAAATGGGGGAGGGAGGGGAGACTGGAGAGGGAGGGACTGGAGGCAGGAGCAGCCCCCCCCCAGGCTATCAGGGTGCGAGGTGATGGGGGAGGCGCTGCCGGGGAGAGGAGGGGGTGATGTATACGAAGGATGTCTCAGTGGAGATCAATAGGCATTGGCCCCATATCGGATGTGAGGAGTGAGACAGTAAAGTATTGTGAACGTCAGAGATGGTGTATGCCAGAAATTAGGCTTGAACCCAGGTCTTTCTGACTGCAGGTAGAGCACTGTAGCCATCCCATCATGCTGGCAGCATGTGGTTGCTTAGCCTTTGCTTGAATACCTTCAAAGATGGTGAGCTCACTACCTATCAAGGCAGCCCATCCCTCTTTGAGACAGCTCTAATTGTTAAGAAGTGGGTCCTCACTTTGAGTCTTCATCTGCCTCCCTGTAACATCCACCCGTTACTCCTGGCTCTACCCATCCCTCTCCCACACAATGACCCTTCAAGTGCCCAAAATCGGCCCCTATATCCCGTCTTGACTTTTTCTTTTCCTCTTCTGTTGGCTGGCCTCCACATGGCCCTTCACCATCCTGGGTGCCCTCCTGTCCTTTGGACAGACTCTGGCTCGCCTCCTGCGAGACGTGAACACAGTGCACCAGAGGGGTCTGGCCAGGCCAGGGAGAGCGGGACGACCGCTTCCTCCTTCCTGGGGGCTTGGCACTACTTCATGCTGCCTAAGATGGCATCTGATTTCTTTGCTACTATATCATGCTCATATTGAACTTGCGAGGCCCCTAAGACCCTCAGTTCTTTTTCATGAACAAAATACACAACTGATATAAAGGCTATTGACAGTGGCTTGGAATGAATAGCCTAGAGCTTGTGAGACTTTAAAAAAATGTATAACTGGTTAGTCTTTTTTTTAAAATTCCGTGCCAAAACTTCCACTTAAACTGAAAAAATGTGGGGAGAATCTGGGCTCAGTCTCTGGAAAACCTGTGTGACCTTGGACAACTCAGTTACCTGCTCCAGGCCTCAGTTTCCTCATCTGTCAAATGAGGGAAGTAGAGGAGGTCAATCAATCAATCAACATTTATAAAGCTCCTTCTATGTGCCAGGCCCTATGGACCTTTAGGGCAGGGGTCCATCACCCTGTTTGGTTGGGTCCAGGACCCCCTAGGCAGTCAGTCTAGTGAAGCCTAAACAGCGCTTCTCAGAATCCTGGTTTTTCACGGCACAAAATAAAAAATGAGAGATTACAAAAGTAACCAATTATGTTGAAACACAGTCTATTGAAACTCAGTATCAAAATATTTGTGAAAAGAAAGGTCAAGGACCCCAGGGTCAGAACCCCTGAATGGAGGTCCCAGGTCTCAGTCTACAGCGCCATGAAATGTAGTTAGGGAAGTAAATCTTTTGGAGGGAGAGAAGAAATAAGAGTTGGTCTAAATCCTCTCTGGCAGGTAGCTCCCTTCTGCTCTCAGCGCAGCCCGCATGCATTTAGGAATAAGCCAACCCTTCCCACCTCCTGCCCCATTATGTTCATTCATTGGTTCCATGTTGAAGCATTAGTCATCCCAGGAAGAGCCCCACCCCTGAGCTGCCACCCGGCAGGCCTTGCCAAGTACCTCGGATGTCCACACGCTGGCCTCCATGGCTGTCCCCTCCGAGGACCAGATGTGGTGCCCCTCCCCCTGGCAGAAGCAGCTAGGGCTCTCTTAGTCATTCTGGCCTTAGTCACTGCCCTGTTCCCGGGACTGCGGCCCGCCCGGCTCAACCTCACCTCGTTGCAGTGATTCTGCCCTGCCAGCTGTATAATTAAGCCTCTGACTCATGCCCTTGGGCTCACACCCGATTCTCAGCCACCCACACATGCAACACATGCTGCTGAAATCTATATGTGTTCACATGTGAATGTACTTCAGGGAAGTGTACGTTGAAAAGTATTTTCCATTCCTCTCTCTGTAATGAGGGATCTCTACTTTAGTGGTAACACACTTGCGGACTTCTCTGTGAGGATGGGAGTTCCCCTCTCCTGTTTCCAAAGGGCGAGATGAATGTTCTGCCTTGGGGTGGGTCTGCTGCACCTCTGCTCTCCAGGGCAGCCACAGCTACACGCTCTCCCTCTGTTCATCCCCAGGCAGGAGAAGGCCGCGTTCAGGGAGGTGATCTCCCAGCTGGAGCTGGACCCCAAGTGCAAAGGCCTGCCTTTCTCCTCCTTCCTGATTCTACCATTTCAGAGGATCACCCGGTTGAAGTTACTGGTACAGGTAACTACCTGACCCACCCTCTCCCCCTCTGACTCTGTTTCCCCTTGCCGGGGGAATTGTTCTCTGGAATACACTTCAGGCAGCTCTTAGCTTCTGCATAAGTCTCTGTCCTAGGACTGAGACCATAGCTCTAGAGGCACCTCAAGGACCACGTGGTCCAGGCCCAGCAAAGTTCAGCGGCTTCCCCCGGGTCACGGGTGGTAAGCCTCAAAGGGGGTATTTGAAGCCAGGCCTTCTGACTTCAAAGCTCCAGCACCTTGGTCGCTTTCTTAGCTGACATAAGACCATGGCTTTAGATCCAAGGGACCATAGAGTTCATCTGCTCCAGCCCCTTGATTTCACAAGTTACTAAGTTCTGGTCAAAATGAATCAACTTAGAAGCTGGGGCAGAGATTGTGAGGTGGTGCTGCTTTTGAATGGATGAATGAATGAATGAATGTGCTAAGTACAGGGAATGGAATAGAAAAGTAGACACTCCCTGATCTCAAAGAGCTCTCCTAATTCTTTTGAAATCTCAGGATCTGGATTCAAATCCCAGAACTGCTACTTACAACTTTTGTGACCTCGGGAAAGTCACTTCCTCTTTCTGGGCCTCAGTTTCCTTATCCTTAAAATGCAGGGATTGGACCAATTGTCCTCAGAGGGCCCTTCTAGGCCCACACCTCTCAGTGATACCATGAATGAATGAGATTGTGCTTAGGAATCCAGCAGGTGGTCCTGATGAGCTGGGCCCATAGGCGTAGATAATTAACAGGCTTGGGCTGAGGGGGGGAATTGGGAGTCAAAGATAAAGAAGCGGATAGGGATGGGGATGAAGGGTGCTGGTCAAGGATGGAGGCAGGGGACGGGCCTCAGGAAATGGAATGCATCTATCATCAAAACTGTGATTAACGTGTTTGTCTCCTTTTCTTAGAAAAGTGTGCAGCAAATGAGACAATTCCACAGTAGAAAACACTCTGCTCTCTGTACCCAAAATAAACAATTAGCATCTCTCAAGAGAAAGGCTTAGAACTGAAAATTCTAAAAGAGGCAGCGTTCTCACTCCTCTTCTGTCCCTCCCTCATCTGCTCCTCTCCTTCTCTCTCTTCTCCCTTTCCCCATATCTCCCTCTCTCATCTCCTATCCCCCTCTTCTTTCTTCCTCTCTCCTGTCCCCCTCCCTTTCTGTCTTCCCTCCTTTCCTTCCTCCTGTTTCCTTCCTTTCTCTCTCCCTTTCTCCTTCTCCCCTACCTCTTCTTCCTCTCTTTTTCTCTCTCCTCTCCCCTTCCTTCTTTCCTTTTCTCTCTCCCTTTCCACCCCTTTCTCTTCTCTCTCTCTTTCTCCTACTCTCCTCTCCCCTCTTTACTCCATTTACCACCAACATCATCTATAATCTGTTTCACTCTTTCCCTTACACACACCTCTTCTCCTTGATTTTGCTTTTTAAATGTTTTTGCACCCCAGTTATTCTAGATGCCTCTTCCCCCTTCCTTCCTTCTCCCTTCCCTCTTCCCTTCCCCCTTCCCTTCCCCCACCCTTCCCCCTCCTTCCCCCCTTCCCTTCCTTCCCTCTCCCTTCCCCCTTCCCTTCCCTCTCCTTTCCCCTTCCCTTCCCCCTCTCTCCTGGCATAGATGCTGGCTCCAGAGATCTTGCCTTTGGCACCATTGTTATCTCATCTGTTTTGGGCCATGTGCTGACTCTATTAGAGATCAGAGCCCTCACCGCAGAATAAAATGAAAAGGGGCCCTTGGGAGTCCTTGCAGGCTACCAGCTGCTATGTGAGGTGGGGTAGGGGGTTCTCTCTACTTTTCTGCTCATCCCTAACTTCACTTCCATTTTGTCTCTTGTTCAGAATATTCTGAAGAGGGTGGAAGAGAGCTCTGAACGGGAATGCACAGCCCTGGACGCCCACAAGGAGCTAGAAATGGTAAATCTGCTCATTGGCTGCTCTGAGGCTCCCCTGAGATCCCTTCTCCATTCTCTGCAAGGCACCTGGCTTCCAAGCCAAGCCCCTCCTGCCGCACCTGTCCTCTTGCCCCTCGACTGGGGCAACCCTAACCTTAACCCTAACCCTGCGTCCTCTCCTGGGAAAGTGCTCCAGACCCTGAGGTGGAATCCTCACAGAAACAACTCTACAGATGGTACTGAGGGGCCCAGAGCTGTTCCTGCCTGGCCCTGGCCAGGAAGACTCAGGGGCCCCTGGAGCAGACCCCAGTGCAGAGCTCCTTGCTGGTGCCCAGGCAGTCTCTCCACTGGTGAAGGTGGACAGTTCTCACACTACAGTAGAGAAACCACTCTTAGCTGAGAGTGAGCAGATTAAAATTCCTGAGTTTGGAGGTGATTTCCCCCTGGGGAAATCTTTGTTTTAGCTGCAGCTGTTGGGCAGCTTCATCTCATCCAAAATGGCTTGGGTGGGTTGAGCTTTTCTTCCCTCCAGGCTCTGTAAATGATCTCATTCCTGTCCAAGATGCAGCTCTGTGTGGGACAGCTGTCCTTATTTCCAGTAAATTCAGAGGCTTCTCCAGGTAGAAGGCAGAAAGGAATTTTTATTACGATCTCGCGAGAAAGGGCCACCCGCACTGAAAAACCTCTCAGTGTCAGGGCACGCTGAACATAGATACAACAGGTTTTTATAAGGCCCTCCCCACAGTTCATCTCCCCACTCCCACCCCCCAAACCTTGAAGGTAAATCTTCCCGGAGATAGTGACAAACAAACAGATGTGGTTATCTTGAAATGTTCGAATTCTGCAAATCCCTGCAAAAGTCCTGTTCCCACCCCCCCCCCCGGGTCCCCTGCACACTCGATACAACCATTTGTTCACACAGTTGGGCAAAAGGCCTGTATTTTGATTTTATATTTTATGAGGGGTTTTCACCACATTCCACTCAATCTCTCCTCTCATTGGCTCATTGAAAACCCTCACACCACTCCCCATACATTCCCTTCACTATCTCATCCTCTATCTCTGACCCATCTAACCTGATTCTGTATCATTATTTTCTTGAATCCCTCTGCCCTAACTTCTAATCAAAGTAATTTTCAGAGAGAATCCTCAATTAACCATAAAATTGGTCTATCATGTATTCTTCATTGCCTCCTTTATTTCCTTACTCTTTTTCTCATCTGAATTCTTCCCCTTAACCATCACCCCTTTAAAATATGGGAAGGATTGATCTACGCATTGAGAAATCAAAGTGGCAGACTCCTTTTTAAATGCAGATATAGAGACCCAAAAGAAAACAATATTGCAATTGTCCATTTAAGATTCAAAAAGTCTTTTCCTATACAGCTGTCTGTCAGGGAAGAAGTTCTCTGGTCCTTGGTATTTCTTCCAGCCACCTACAGCACAGCATCTCAGCATCTTCTTCTTCTAGTCTTCTTGTAGGAGCCAGCTTTCTGTCCATCCTCCTACAAAAGTGACCTTAGCACAATTTTAAATTACCATTTCTAATCCTTATAACCCTGACCATTTTTACAAACTCAAAATTGGAATCATGTTTAAGAAATTCACATCAGGACTCAGTGTCTCATACTTTACATTAATCCATTATTAATGTCCTCAACAGGAGGATGAGATTTCACCAAGGAATTAATAGCAGGCTCCAGTACATACATAAATATATTAAATAATCAATTTTAACACAGTACATATAAGATCTTAAACATTTAGTCATGCCATGTTTCTTTGATAGCATTTACAAAATACACCACAAGCCATTCTTCTTTTAATGTAACAAAATTCTAGACAATGATATTAACCAAATAGCAAAATAACATTCTCACAAGCCCCTGACCTATTGTCTCCACACCATTACCAATAATTAACGAACTCTAACTCATACGGGAACACACACAAGAACACTAGTCCCAGTTCTATAGTAACCTAAGATGTTTCAGAATCAATTATTTTAGTAAATTTGCTACTGTACTTGCAAACCTTCTGATTATAGAAACTTGCCTCTAAGAGACTTATGAGTCTCTTAGTTAATATATATATATATATGACTTATAATAAGGGAACAATATTTCCCCAACTTCCTGTCAACTCCAGGCACAGTGTTATGTCAAACTGCAAACTGCATTGAGCCAGGCTTAAAGTCTGCCAGGTGTCATAGTGGGGAAATTGAGTCAGGAGAATCCTACCTCAGCCATGCAGAAAAGTCGTTCTCCTGACCTTCCCATGAGAACACCTTCTTGCAGCTCATAGGTGCAGTTCACAAACCTCTTTGCAGGTTGCTGATGTCATGGGTCAATAGCTCAATCAGTTCTTTGTTAACCATACCTGGAGTTAGACTCAAAATAATAGTTCATTAATAGATTCCAAGGTCTTAGATAGCAAATTCCCTCATCAGAGTTTCAGGTGTGACTATATTCTCACATTAATTAGGGACATCTCCAAAGTGAGCTCTAAGTAGCTTTTAACTTCCTACACATGTTATGGTTCTAATAACATCCGAAGTAAAATCAAATTCCCATTAAGATCATAAGTTGCTATTCTAAATAGATTTGCCTTTCTGTTTCTCAAGCTTATCTATCCCTCTCTAACCATCCTTAATCTGAAAGAATGAAACACCTTCAGGACTTGAATCTTATACATGTAAGTTCAAATAGTAATTTTAGCTCTTTCTAGGCCATGGAATGAATTCAGATCAAAAGAGTCAACACACACACAGATCAATTGCCAGTTTTAAGTTTTAACTTTAAAACATTAACCAACAATCTTACAATTTTCATAAGCGATTTTCATAATTTTCATAAGCGATAACTAAATTGTTTTAGCTGTAGCATAAACAATAAACTTCAGATGGCAACAACTGTGTTTCCAGATCATGTAAAATTATTGATAGAAGGATGGGCTGGTTTCTTTACCTTGACCCATCCTTCTCCAGGCTGTAGCTGCTGCCCCTCCCTCTCCTCCCTATAACCAGGCAGGGGAAGAAACTCCTTAATGATCAATCTCAAAAACTTCCAGAATCTGCTAAGACGTTTTAGCTGTCCTATCTTTTTCACTTTTACATCCACCCCTTAAAAACTTAGAGTGGGGCACTGAACTTTCAGACCTACATTCTTGAGACGAGTGTTCTTTCTTATGCTATCTGAAGCTCAAACTGTTCCTCTGAAAGTACCCATTTAAGGCCAATTCAAGGACACAACATACCTAGGAATGAAACTTAGAAAATTCACATTAGATTCGGACATAACTGTTATCAGTATCAAATTATTGCAACAAATTAGCTTGCAAAAGGAAATTTAGTAGGCCCTCTAAAAGAATATCAAAGATTTTATCAAAACATCTTCTTCATAAAAGTATCTCCTTTTCTTAAAAACAGCTTATAATTTCCTAATTACCATTGTCAACCTGAACATTGGTTAAAGAGACCACAAGCTAGTGATAAGTGATATTCCACCCTGACTCAGGACATCTGGGTTACTCATTTTCATGGTCTCCAAATGTTTAACCTGAGCGTGAGAAAAGAAATTTAAATAAGATAGGCAAATGTCAGATCCAGGACATCTGGGTCTCCTTTGCCACCATCAAGGTAGTGTCTGGGTTGAAGGCGCCTCAGTGGTCATAAACATAAGAATGCTCTTGATCAGCTTCAGCTAATTTCTTTAGTCCAGAGGTGTCTGCAATGGGCCACTTAATCAGTAAGAGTTCCACCTCACAAAACTCCTGCACAGGATTGATAAGAATTATGAGATTTTACAAAATCTTTCTTGCATAATTACATAGTTTCTTTACACACACACAAATATACTTCTACCAGTGATTAACTTAAACAATAACTCCAAATAGCTTAATTAACAATTTTAACTTCATAAGTGAAAGCCAAATAATCCCAGCTAAAACTTTCCTTTAAACAGAGGCAAAACTTGTAAGTTCTCATTTCTTAAATTACAATTCTTAAAAGGAAATGTTACAAACAGGACCATATAGAATGCCCCAACAGCCTTTATCCATTCCTTTTTCTCTTTTCTCTGAAGGCACAATTCTTAATTTAACATTCTGGGTTATAAAATAAATTGCCCTTCCAACAACATAACTAAAACAATTGCTTACTAGATTACATCACATGAGAACATTTGGAAATATGTAAGCAGTACATTAAAAGCTTAAAACAGACCCAATAAAGATCTTTCTTTCTTTCTGAACTCTTTCACCAGGTCCAGTCTCCTGGGGCCACTCCCACCCCACTAGACTGGCTTTTCTTTATTATCTATGGGGTCTGATAGCCTCAGGCCACATCCAGATGCAACCCCAATGACACTACTTGGCCTAAACATCCCCAGGCAAGCTAGTCTCTGTCAAAAGAGCCTGGCTCATATATCCCCCAACAAACCCAATAGTTAGCCTAAAGAAGGCCTGGGTTGAAAAGCATATATATATGCACATATTTTTCTATTTTTCCAATTTCTAATTGAGGCCCTGATATGAGAGAACACCTCACTAATTCCAAATACATATCAATAAGTTTTTCCACAATAAAACATGTTTGTACCACAGGGCATTCGCTATAAAATTATTTCCACAATTGTAATAAATTTTGAAATGACCCATTATCAATTTAGAAGGATGTACTTCTAAGTCATTTTGTACAGAAAATCATTCATCTCATCATTAATAACTTTAAACCACCATACATTTTTATAATAGTCAAGATTTTAAATGAAAATCTACTATCATAGCCTTATAACCAAATATACCTCACTAGGTATTTAACAGTTTCAAATTATCTCAATTTCATCATTAAAGATAAAGAGACATCTCCACTCTTTATCACTAAAAACCCATTCCAGGCCAAGAGTTACACCATTTCCACCTCACAATGGTCCCTCAAATTTTACAACCTAAGAGTTTTAGAAATACAATACAATTTAGAAATACAGTAATAACTTAAACAAACTTCAGATAACATCAATTACA